TCCCAGTCCCTCCCAGTTACTCCCAGTCCCTTGGCAGTTCCCTCCCAGTCCATCCCAGTCGCTCCCAGTCCCCATAATTCCTCTCCCAGTTCCCTTCCAGTCTCTATAACTCCACTCCCAGTGCCCCCCAGTCCCTCCCAGTCCCTCCCAGTCTCTCCCAGTCGCTCCCAGTGCCCATAACTCCCCTTCCAGTCGCTCCCAGTCCCTCCCAGTCCCTCCCAGTTGCTCCCAGTGCCCATAATTCCTCTCCCAGTCCCTCCCAGTCCCTCCCAGTCCCTCCCAGTCCCCATAACTTGGCTCCCAGTCACTCCCAGTTCACTCTCAGTCTCTCCCAGTACCTCCCAGTGCCCATAACTCCCCTTCCAGTCGCTCCCAGTCCCTCCCAGTCCCTCCCAGTCCGTCCCAGTCCCCATAACTTGGCTCCCAGTCACTCCCAGTTCACTCTCAGTCTCTCCCAGTACCTCCCAGTGCCCATAACTCCCCTCCCAGTCCCCCCCAGTCCACTCCCAGTCCACTCCCAGTCCCGCCAGCCCCCCAGCCCCGCCGGCGCCATGTCGTCGTGCGCCGAGGTGCTCCGTTTCCAGCTGCCGGGCCACGAGGCGGCGGCGCTGCGCTCGATGACGCGGCTGCGGGCGGAGGAGCGCTTCTGCGACGTCACCATCGTGGCGCGCAGCCTGCGCTTCCGCGGCCACCGCGTCATCCTGGCCGCCTGCTCGCCCTTCCTGCGCGACCAGTTCCTGCTGAACCCGGCGGCCGAGCTGCGCGTCTCGCTGGCCCACAGCGCCCGCGTGCTGGCCGACCTGCTGCTCTCGTGCTACACGGGCGCGCTGGAGTTCGCCGGCCGCGACCTCGTCAACTACCTGACGGCCGCCAGCTACCTGCAGATGGAGCACGTGGTGGAGCGCTGCCGCGGCGCGCTGGCGCGCTTCATCCAGCCCGCGCCCGCCGCGCCCGCGCCGCCGCCCAAGCCCGAGGAGGACGAGGACGAGGAGGACGAGGAGGACGCGGCGGGCGACGTCTGCATCGTCAAGGTGGAGCCGGCCACGCGGCGCCGCGGGCGCAGGTGGCCGGCGGTGACGGGCGGCGAGGCGGCGCAGAGCGGCGCGGCGGCGGCGGCGGACGGCGGCGCGGCGCGGCTCGGCGTGGTCAAGGCGTGTTACAGCCTGGCCGAGGACGCCGAGGGGGAAGGCTTGGTCATCTTCCCCGGCGGCGGCGGCGCGGGCGGCGCGGGCGGCGCCGAGGAACCGCCGGGCGGGCACGCCGGCGCCTCGGCGAGCGCCGCGGCCTCCGCGGCGGCACCGGCGGCGCCGGCGGCGCCGGCGGCGGCGTCGCGGTGCGGGAAGTGCGGGGAGAGCTTCCAGGGCGTGGAGAAGCTGGTGTTCCACATGCGGGCGCAGCACTTCGTCTTCATGTGCCCGCGCTGCGGCAAGCAGTTCAACCACAGCAGCAACCTGAACCGGCACATGAACGTGCACCGCGGCGTCAAGTCGCACGGCTGCGGCGTCTGCGGCAAGAGCTTCACGCAGAAATCCACCCTGCACGACCACCTGAACCTGCACAGCGGCGCCCGGCCCTACCGCTGCTCCTACTGCGACGTGCGCTTCGCCCACAAGCCGGCCATCCGCCGGCACCTCAAGGAGCAGCACGGCAAAACCACGGCGCAGAACGTTCTGGAAGCCGGCGGCGCCGAGGGAGGGGTGCTGCTGCGGTGACGCGGGGCGGGGGAGGGCCCGGC